CCTACTGTTCAAGCGCTATCCTTCTCCTCCCCATGGCGAGTACAATGGCCGGTATTCATAAGGTGCGTTCGGGGAGTCGCTATTAGCGCTATTTCTGTCATTCTATCCTTGTTTTACGTCTAATAAACAACAAAGATACAATAGAATGACAGAGTAGCGCTAATAGCGTCTCCCCGAACGCACCATAGTCGGTTCTTATTTCAAACCATCTTAAGTAATATCTTAATACGCTAACGCGGCTCTCTGATTGGTTCATGACACCTCAAGGCTGAACTTAAGACGATCTTGAATATAAGAATTGACTATAAATACCGGCCAATGCTGTATATGGAAATAATCTGTATAAAATACGATAAATGGCTCTATTTCGGACCAGCGTAGATTAAATGTGACCCAATCAATTTTTAAGTTCTTTTCGGTGTAAACGGTTGGTGATTAGACCTACTTTGGGTCACGATATAGGTTCGCTATCAGTCGTATAGTGTAAACGTAGCCATTGATCCAGGTGGTCTTATACATACATAGGCTGCGTTCAGCAGACTCAACAGTTTTGCAACCATTTTATGATTGTCTGCTGAGATAGGACCATTCTTCTAGATCTAAAAGTATGATCTAATTAGCGCGAAGGAAACTTACAACAGTTGCAAAACAAACGTTCTGTTGAACGAACCCATTTATGCTATGTTTATGACTATTATACGTTTACACCATGCGCTTGGCCGCGACCTATACGATAGGTGTCTTTGTTTATCCTACAGGATAAACAAGAGCATCTATTGTATAGGCCGCGACCTAAATGCACGGTGTAAACGTAACCAATAACTCGAGAACTATTGATTTTTCGGTATCTCTGCTTTAATATTTTTATATACAGAATAATTAGAGGAATTATAATATGTAAAAATGATATAATTTTATTAAAAAATTTTTGACGATCTTGGTCTGATATTTTCTCAAGGTTAACTAAAATCACTATCATCTTTTCCCCCAGTAACTGAGCAACTTTTTGTCTAGAACAGTTTTATCTTAAGGATTTTGAGATATTTTATTAGATGGATTAAAATAAACAATCATTCTATATACAGGGTGTCCCATTTTAAATAATGCATTAAGATTTCTCGAAAACTATGGTAGATACGGAAAAATGTTTCAAACAAGTTGTATAGTACGGAGGGGGGCATAAGAAAGTACCATTGATTTAACCTTGGGTGGCGTCGCCAAGGCCAGGTCAGGATCACATCGATTTTTTTTAAATGGAACCCTCTATTTTTCATTACATCTTCTTCTAGCTTACCTTGAGAGCTTTTCAAAACACTAATAAAATATTTTTTCATTTAGTACTTTGCGAGTTGTAGGTTTGAAGTTACAGCACCGCCGGCATTAGCATTACCCAAAGTGTCCGACCGATGGCTAAAACCTCTTGAATGTTGTTTAGGATCACGATCTAGATAACATTTGTCAAGATCAAGGTCATTGGAGGTTGTTCCTCTTATTTTCATTTTTGCACTAAAAATTCATTTCTACATAAAAATGAAAAAAGGGGGTACAACCTCCAATGGCCTTGATCTTGACAAATGTTATCCAGGTCAATGTGATCCTGAACAACATTTAAGAGGTTTTAGCCATCGATCGGACACCTTGGCTAATGTTAATGCCAACGGTATACTGTAACATTCGAGACTTATAATTCGAGAAGCACTTAATGTGTGTGAAAAAATATTTTATTATAGTATTTTGGAAAGCTCTCGAGGTAAGCTACAAGAAAATGCAATGAAAAATGGGGGTTTCCATTTAAGAAATTGAAGGTGACCTCCACGTGACTTTCAAACGACTATCCAAGGTCAAACCAATGGTATCATCTTATGTCTCCCTCCGAACCATACAACTTTTGTTCGAAACATTTTTCCGTATCTACCATAGTTTTCGAGAAATCTTAACGCATTGTTTAAAATAGGACATCTTGTATATATGCCCTGTATGTATATACACATACGTGTGCGTGCGTGCGTGCGTGCGTGCGTGCGTGCACAGACTAGACATTTTGATGTCGGAAGTAAAAAAAATGCGCCCCTCAGTAACAAAAATATTTCTTGTATAGCATGTAAAATATAATAAAAGATAATATTAAATATTAATAGTATATAATATTATAAATTTAGTATTAACATTAGTTTAATAGGAACATATAGTAGTTAGATATACGTTACAAATATACAAACTATGTGTACATATATGTATATCACAAACGAACGCAACATAGTGTTAAAGTCACAGTAGAATCAGAGTGTATACATACACCATATAGTATACATTTTATAGATAATATTAATGCATAATATGTATATTTATATATTTATATAAATAATATTCATTTTTGTAAAAATTCATACAAGATATGTTTTTCATTTAAAGTAATATCTTTCGTGTTTTGATAGCCGCAAAATTGGGAATTATTTTGGTAAAAATATCTTCATGTTTATTTCATTTCTATTTAAGGCTCCTGAGTATAAGTTACTTCAGCAATATTGAATCGTGACATCATAAGCAAGAAATGACACGTTGATTTTTCTTGCATGCTAAATAAAGTAAATAAAGAGAATTTGGATGAAACGAAACGATGAGATCGTTTTAAAACACTTGTAAAAATGAGTGAAGACTCTCCTTATCTCTCCTGATAGTAAAGAGTCGAAAAAGTGAAAGTGAAAATAGACTACGCATTGTTTCCAGCTTAAGTTTGTTATTATATCCCAGAGTTCTAATTGGACGGCTCGTTATTCCCTGTTACCTGTGCCTATTGCCTGTGCCCATTGTGTTTCCAGCTTAAAGATCCCTCCGCTTTGTGGTGCACTGGTTATTATCCGATGCAAAGAAGAACAATCTCCATAAATAGAGAGCGAACTTAATGTATTCTGATTTTACGTCAAATTCACAAGATCCATTTGCAAAGAAAAGTTAAGCAATCCGTCAAATACCAGTGGTCTTGATACAGAAAGACGTGAATCCCGAATCTTCCAATCAACCATTTATGATATAATAATTTTGGTAGCATGTCAATTACAATTACCATTTTTATACATTAAGCTGGTTCTACATTAATCGCATCACAGCGTCGTAAGCGTTTCGCAAGCGTTGTGGTCCAATCAGAATCAAGCTAGATCGATGTTGATTGGACCGCAACGCTTGCGACTAATGTAGAACCAGCTTAATGTAGAATGGGCTTTTCGATAAAACTGTCGTAACATAGCGCGCCAGCATGAGTTGCTGAATTTTTCACAGGAGAGATATAGTATTTCTCTCTCTCGGGTTTTCGTCGTTGATACGAGTTCTCAAGCGCTCGTCATTATATACGTATTACACGCTCTGTTGTACGTTTATGAGTACCGAGATTTAACTTCGGACTCTTGAAATAAAGTTAAATTATAAAATCAGCGTTCGTAAGTGACATAGTGATTCATATTTACTCCATTTTGGCTATTGTACCTATGTACTCCCTTACACAAATCCTTTTTATTTCGACCATCCTTACAATATTAACTAATTACCCCTTCGCAGATTAATCTTCTCAATTTTTCTATACTTAACCTGATCAGATCATTGCCGCTTTTTAGAAGATTTTTACACATACACAATTTTATATTAAAAGAACTAAAGGAGATATATTGAAATAGATACATAATAAAGAGTGAATAAAACATAACCTATATCATATACATCAAATAAAATAAGAACACTAGCACAAAACAAATAAATACAGAAATAAAGAAAAATACGAGAGAAGTAAATAACACAGTTATTTATCTATTTTTATAAACTTTAAACTAAAGAATAATAATATTTAAAAAATTACAGATGCCTCTATATGCCTGCACCAAAATATCACGCTAACACAAAAATTGCGTAATTTGCGCAATACGCAACTTTTTAAAACAAGCGTAATGGAAAGCGCGGATCGCCTCTGATGGCTCCTGCACACTGAACGCGTTAATGTTTACCGCGCGGCAAAATGCGACGCGCGTAACCAATGAACATGTTAGGAGCTGTAAGCTTATTGGCTACCGCGTCACATTTTGCCGCACGGTAAGCGTTTCCGCGTCCAGTGTGCAAGAACCATGAGAATGCCATTACATGAGCGTGGAAACACGGAAACGCGGAAACGCGCAATCAATCAGTAATCGGTAAAACGCGAAACCATAACAGCGGATCGCTTCTGATTGGTTACGCGTTTCCGCATTTCTGTGTTTCCGCGATCATGTAATGGCACTCTGATTGGTTACGCGATACGCGTTACGCGGAAAATATCAATCCATGTAACAGCATCCTAAGGGTGGAGTCCCATGAGGTGTATTTATCGCGTATCGCGTAAGCGCATAACCAATCAATAATCAGTAAAACGCGAAACTATAACAGCAGATCGCTTCTGATTGGTTACGCGGTTATGCGATACGCGATAAATACACCTCATGGGACTCCACCTTAAGTAGTACAAAAAGCCGAAATTGTCGACTACCAGTGCGAGTTCTGATTGGCTACTGCTTTTCCGCTTTCTGCATTTCCGTCCAAGATGTGAACGCCCCATCACACATAAAATTACATAAGCTACATAACCATAGCATAAGTTCGTTGAACCAATAAGCATCCAATACACGCCATGTTGATTTACATCAGATGCTTATTGGTCCAGCGGCTTTATGCTGTGGTTATGCAGCTTATGTCATTTGTGTGTGAAGGCCCCTAAGGGCTTAAGCCTGTCACTCATGAAATGCATAACAGGCATAAGCATAACATAAGACTGCTGA